AAATCCTTAACAATAAACACTAATAAAAAATCCCAGTGGGTGGTGTCTAAAGATTTAAAGAGGTTTACATCCCATGACCAGGGATACCTTTAAAAGCAATTCTGTCCTCTGTTCTTATTGAACGCATGTTTTGAGAACCTTTAGTGCAAAAAAAAAGAAAATCTTAATAACGAAATCATTTCTTTTTTCAACAAGAGTGTCATTAGTTAGCAGTGACGTAGGTCGTATGCGTATGTATAATGTGTGTTAGAAATGGGAAGTGCTGGAACTCTCTTATTTTCCTAGAGAGGTATTTTATATATAAATTTATGAAGAAAGTAAAAAGAAATCTAACTGCAATTGTTGTGGGAAAATACGATTAAGGTAAGACAACTTGCTACATACTCGTGTGCAAAGTAAGGGGGACATTGATTCCCGATGATATTTGAGAATAAGTTGCGCCACGAGTTTTTGGTCGCATTCTGATACATGAAATACTTAACTATAGCCATGCACTGCTTAATCGAACATGGCCATTGCCGCCACTCTTTGCTCTCAATAAAGGCTTTGCTGTTGTGTGAACCTAGCATACTGTCGGCCTCGCCATTACGCCTGAATGAAGGACAAAAGTGTTTCATTTCTAAGGAAGTAATCCATCATTCCAACAATTTTTGTAAATCAGCACTATTATAACACCAGTCTCGCTATAGCCGAATGCATACGGGAAATCCCCATCTGCCCTTCAGTAACAGTTGTAGTCCGAGAGCCGGTGTCACAGGATATTTCGGAACCGGACGAATGGGAACCATTCCGATTCATCCTGGCCCTGGTGGCAGGATTTTTGGAACCATTCCGATTAATCCTGACTGTAGTGGGAGGATATTTGGGAACCACCAGGATATTTCGGAACCGACTAGAAGGTCTTTAACCCACATGAATTTTTGACTTTATGACTTTTTCCAAACAGATTTTGTGGTCGCTTTGATGAGGTTGGGCAATAAATCTCTTCTCACTGTAATAGAATAACGCTTACTAAAATACTAGTTTATAGTCCAAGGGACACGATCAAGTAATTAAGTATAAGCTGTTAATTAAGCATTGTTTGCCCTTGTGAAGAGCAGCAGAAAGTAATGATCAGCAATATTCTGTTTGCATCATTCCTTGTCAAAATTCACCGAGTTACAATTCACTGTACTCTAGCAACGTGAGATTACCAGCTACAGCGAATATCTGTGAAATGGAGAGTGAGACAGAAGTGCTACATGACGGGAGTAGGCCTATTGTTTTTGATATCCCAGATCATATCTGGGAACAGTTGAATGAAGACAAAGAAGTGGAAATTTCTGTGCCAAGCCAGCCTGTATCCAGTGATTCCAGCGAATAGAAGGCCAGGCGTTCAACTACATCCATTACTGGTACTGAGTATTCTCTCTCTCTCTCTCTCTCTCTCTCTCTCTCTCTCTCTCTCTCTCTCTCTCCCTCTCCCTCTCCCTCTCTCTCTCCCACCCGCAGGGGCGAAGGGTGACCCATCAGTTTGGGCACGCAAAATTTAACGAAAAATTGCAGTTTGGTCCATAAACAGCTTTCTTATAGGCCTACAACCATATTTTACTTTGGAGAACAATCTAAACTCAGGGCACCCAACTTTTCACCCATTCCCTTCCATATCGCTCCTTCAATCACTAGAACTAAATGTAGGCCAAGAATCTACAAAACCTAGATAGATTTACCTAGATTAGATCTAGATCTAGAGTGGATGTACCCCCAACGACACAGTTGCATGCTCAGAGACTCAAAGTTCAAAGCCCGATTTTCATTTTCTGTTAATTGAACTTGATTTGGTGAAAGTTTTGGTGTAGACATGAATAATAATCTATTTTCCCCAGAAACCAGTCTCTTTTCACATCAGGGATGGTCTTTTTTCATTAGATATTGAGGCCTTGTGGCCACTGGGGGTACGTGGCCACTGGGGGTACATCCACTATAGATCTATAATGTAAAAAAAAAATGCTCTGATGGTAGAAAACGATGGAATGGCACAATCAGGGCCCCCATCCCTTCTGATAAATGGGCACGCAGGATGGAGCAAACAAGGAAATTCCTACTTGATGATACTCTCCCAACCTTCAGCGACCGGAAGGCCAAGAACAAATTAATTTTCCAAGCACGCCACAAGTAATTCCTGAATGGAAACAAGTTGATGTTTAAGAAGAGTGGGAAGGATCTGGAGGTAGTGGCCGACCAGAAGGAGCAGCTGACCATCATCCAGTGCACCCACAGTGGAATTGGCACATCCAAAGAATCAAAAGCGCTTGGTGGTCACCTGGGTTGGAACACTGTGGCAAATCACCTCTCCACCAGATACGAGGAGGATGTGAACGTGAGTCTACTGAGTACTTTTTCAACCCCTGCCCGACCATTACTGAGAGGAGAGTCCTCTGCGAAAGAATGGGATGCCTGAGCGCCCAAAAGGTCAAGTACTGCTGGATGGTGAATGGTCACAAGATTACTGAAACCCTGGCCTCTTCCTGTGTTGGCCTACCTGATATCTGGTAACCAAGAGGACCACCTGATGGTCAGAGTTGTCATTACAGAAGCGATTGCCAATGCAGGTCCAGGTTCAGTGATCCAGCAATTCTTTGGGCGGGAGCCCGTCTGGAAGTACATCCTACGCACCAATATGCCACGGTCATCAGTGTGGGGCACAGAAGTTGAAATATTCACGGCTTCCCAGATTCTGCAGATGGATATTTACACCTACACATTTGGGCAAGGCACTTCACCCGACCAGGACAAACTCTCCTGGGGTAGATTCCCCTATCTATGTCTCCTGCAATAGTGGAGGAACAAACAGCCGCACAGGAAGCCGCTGCAGAGGAGTCGAAGAAACGAGTGGACCAGTGCAAACCATACACGTTCACCAAGGACCAGCCTACACCGCGCGCACTTTATCAGGACAACACCAGGTGTCACTCTGCACCAGTGGTTGGATTTAGATAAACGAGTGTACTCTTTTACTCTTTTACTTGTTTTTACTTGTGTATTTTGCACAAACTCAAGAAGCTCGCCACTGGTATAATTCTACCTAAAATAAGTTTGCATAGTTTTGCATTTTAATTATGTTTGGAAGTAAAAAACGTTTATGAAAAATACAAGGGAAGTGCTTTGATTTCTTTTCTCTTTCCTTTTTTTTTTTAAAACTTTTATTTTGATGCTTTTGAAATTTTGAAGTGTGTACTGGAAAATTACATTGCCAAGTTTTTTGTTGAAGCCTGTGAGCCAAATGTACACATATAAAGCTGCCAAGGATTGTGTCATTTTGTCCTCTGGTTCTATGTTTTCACGTAGCATTTCAATAATGTAATGATTGTGGTTTGAAAGTTGCCAATAAAAATGTTTAATTGTATTCATTTGTCTGTTTCCTTTGATTGTGAAGTGTGAGACACTGCGTATCACACATGGATGACGGAGGTTCCGAAATATCCTGGAGGTTCCCAAATATCCTGCCGCCATGTGCAGGATAAATGGGAATGGTTCCGAAATATCCTAGGATTTTTGGAAACCAGTTCCGATTTATCCTGATTCCGAAATATTCTACGACTAGACTTCATGTCAGTCGGGGGCCAACTTGTATCTTATGGGCATATTTTTTTTCTGCTGGTTGAAATACACCAACCCGTATCTATGGCTGGACAATGAGTCGCTTTAGCAAAATCCGGATAATATATTAGTCCACCTGTTCGGCAAATAATATGTTATGAACCGCTTCGACAAATGGATTAGAACCACTTCCACAAACGGGTTAGCATCACTTCAACAAGTGGGTGCACCCACTTCGGCAAATGGGTCAGGTAAGAGGGTTTAGAGTCTGAAATCGGATAATGTTTCATTGAGAATTACCCGGTTATCCGGATAGTTTATCCGATTTTGCCCACCTCTACCCGTATCTTGCAAGAAGGATTGCCGATGTACTCAAGGACAAGTCGACCAAGATTCGCGCTAACGCTAACAGCTCCTCTCGTCGCGATGTCACAGGCTGCACCGAAAGGTGCACAGCACGCCTGCTGTCCTCCCTCGTGATATGGACTCCTCTAACAAAGCATGGAGACATTGGCAGACAATGCCGCATCACTGTCACACGACACCTCCGTGTAGATTACTAAAATCAAACGTTCGACAGAATTGAGCGTCAATCACAGTATCATCACAGAAGGTCGCACAATGTGCGTTTGGCCTGAAAACAAAATACAAGTGTTTCTTTCTTCAACACCGCACTCATAAACATAAACACTGATGTACGTGTAGAATTCACTAGTACTATTGGAATGTTAAGAAATTGAGAACTGTCTGCAATACCAGATATCGACGAATACATGCACATTCCTGAGATTATTAATTTATAAAGCAACAGTGGGGAGAGTAGAAAGAGAGATGGAGATATTTTAAGGTGGGCGGGGAGATGCATGGCTCATTTCGATATTTTTTTAAATCGGCCTCGTCCTTGATCAAGATCTGATCCGTTCTTTGTCAGTATGTGTGCACGTAGGTCTATCGCTCGGTAGAACCAAAGAATGCAGGACCCCGCTACGTCACCACGAGGACGTGACGTGATAAGCCTGGTTCGTGCCACATAAACATGCACACACGCAGTGTCTCACTCACTGACTCTTATATACATTCTTGTGCGACTCTCTCTCTCTCTCTCTCTCTCTCTCTCTCTCTCTCTCTCTCTCTCTCTCTCTCTCTCTCTCTCTCTCTCTCTCTCTCACTCTCTTTCTTAAGCATGGAGAGCTTTTTCTGTCAAATAAAGAACCCACGTCTGATCAAACCGAGATGGATTATTAGTTTTCAGGAAGCAAGCCAGCAACAAGATGGTAGACTCAGTCAGAGACTTCCAGAAGATGAATAGTTTATACTGTGTCACAGGAACTGTATCAGCACATTGTTCCAGAGACCATCAGCGACTTTTATGAAAGAAAAAGACAGGGGAACTTTCTGAAAAAGAACCCAAACGTCTAAGGGGCAGTACTAGTTCGTTTAATTTTCGTGAATATTGGGGGTTTTTTCTGTGGAGAAGCATGCTCATTGATACCCCATAAAAACACCCTGATCATTGGAAACAAGCCTACTTATGCCGAATTGTAGAGGAGAAAGGGATGAAGATCACCAAAGAAGAAATACAAAAACGTGCCTTGGAACATGGGGGCAAATGGGGGACGGATGTCAGCTTCCGTGTGTCATCAGCAGTCAGTGATTTGCTTGCCTCAAACTCTAGCTATCACAGAGACTGCTACTCCCGGTTCTACACAAGAAGTTCAATGCGATCAACTAGCTCACCTACAACGCATGGCAATGCCCTCAGTATAATACTGGTTGACGAGATTCGATCAAACAAGTCACGCCTGTGGAATAGTGTGGAAGTCCATGAACGCTATACAGTATTGAACTTGGAGGGAAAGACAAATGTCGGCTTTCATCACTACCGCAGTTGTCACCATTTTGCGACGAGTTCAGTCAGCACTAGTGGCACATATGGTCGTCGACAGCTACTTCAGACTGAGCACAAAGTATTACTGTACAAATGCCCGCCAGAAGGGGACAAGTCGTGTGTACAACCTGACTGAAGAGTAGCCTTTGCCACAGCAAAGAGTCGTGCTGAAAGTCACAACTAACAAGGAACAACTGATACAAATTGTTGTACATCGTCTTTGCAGTATGCTACCTCCAATAGGAGCAGATGTTGTCATCACTAAACCAGATCCACACCCTATACACATGGGGTCTGAGCTTCAACAACACACTCTGTATCGTGAAGAAGCTGGTGTCATCAACGAATTGCCATTAGGACAGAGGGACATCAGGGTCATTTCTGATGACAGCGATGTTCTCGTTATCATGGCCCATCATCTCTACATGAGCACCAAAGGAATGTCATAAAATATGACCCTGTCCATTGAGTCGTGCACATCCACACATAATGTCATAAGTGTCAACGACGTTATCAGACAGCTTGTAACCATAATGCCTAATCTGCTGGCAGCTCATGTCCTGAGTGGTTGTGACACAGCTTCTTCCTTTTCTAGAATTGTAAAGATGATAGTACTCAAGAAGCTTGAAGTATTCATCATGGAACTGGTGCTTGGGAAGATGTCTGTTCCATTCCTGGAAATCTCTGAGTCATGCCTCCACTTCACTAATCTGCTCTATGGGGATGAGTCTGGAGCCAATCTGAAAACAGTTTGAGTCAACATTTTTGGGAAGACGTTTGCTGGAAAGAGACACATTCCCCCGAATGTAAGTAGCCTTCCTCCGACGATGACAAGTTTTCTGGCCCTCATCAAACGAGCACACTTTCAGGCTGTGCTGTGGCAAGTGGCAGGGGAGCCATCTCCTCCTGAGCTGGATCCTGTTGAGTATGTATGGCAGCCGAGATGGTAAATGCTCAGTTGTCAGCTCCCGATAAAGTTCTCAATCTGGTCAGTTGCAGCTGTAAAACTAGATGCAGCACAGCACAGTGCACCTGCAACAAAACGTTTGTCCAGTGTACAACATTTTGCATATTAATGCAGAGGAAGAACTGCCTGCAATAACCCAATGACTGTCATTGCCCCCCCCCCCCTAAATGACTGGGAGGATACATGAACTGTCTACAGACGCCCTTCAGTCACTCTTTATGTGAGAACTAGCAGTAGATACTGGCGAGTGTCCCACCGTTTTCTCCCTATTAAACAATTTAATTAAGTGATTTTAATACGACAGTTTCAAGTGTATTGCGGGTCAGCACATTTAAGAAAGCCAGATGGCGGCCATCTTGTTCTTTTTTAAAGTTTCAATTTAATCAATTATTGGATGTGTATTTCATCAAGTGTCGTTTACTTTTGTAACACAGCATTCTGTTTAATTAAGGTTGTCAATTTTTAAATTTTTATGTCTTTAAATGTATGATGCTCTCTCAACATCTTTCACTCGAAATTCTATGGCGGCCATCTTGAATTTCCACTTTTAGACAAAAATGCTCAAAGTTTAGCGTCCCCCCCCCCCCAATTTAGATTTGAAATCAGCAATGAAAACTCAGTTAGAATCATCAAAGAAAAAAACTTTATGACGCAAAACAAGCTTTTTCATTTTGCGCTCAGACTATAGGCTCAAAAGGTGCGCTCGGTAATCTTTGGTGAGTCGGAAATACATCATAGTGCATGGTCTAGGATGGATTATATTTCATGCCATACTTAGACTTGGAGTTGTTTTAGCACTGCACGTCTGGAAAGAATAAATCCTTCTTATTTTACACGTAAAATATAAGCTGATATCTCACACGTGAAATATAATAAACATTCGCACAAATTACTCCGCGCACTATATTCTTATTCTAACCTTCTGTAAGCAATGTATAGGTTTAAATGATAATATTCCTAGACCATGCAATGTTATAGAAGCCGCTCTATGCTCTCTGTAAAAACTTCGCTGTAAAGCGCGCTCACTACAGGCGGCCAAATGAAGTGCTAAACACCCGCCTCCCACACCGTCCATACAGTAGAAAGTACGCACAACTCCCTACGTTGCCCTTCATTTTGTCCCAAATTGAGTCAAATGGTGCGCACCATAGTGAGCCAGGGTTAGATCTATACGTCAGAGTGCGGCTATAGTATTTTAGTGCAATCCAAGACTCATTAAGACAAGACGAGACAACAGCCTCATTTTCGTTCCAACTGGCTCCCCTTGGTAACCAGCTAGATGCGCGTTTAAAGCGTAAACAAACGACAGGAAGAAAGAGCGCACTGTTCAACTCGCTGAAATAGATGCCTAAATCTACTTTGAATTTCATAATGGCAGTTTTGCCTTGGTTTTTTTTTTATCATATAAACTGTTTGGCATTTATTTCGACTGGTTTTTGTTCACATTTTGAATATAGTGAGTTGGGAAATAAGATTTTAATGAACGGAAAGCGGTAGTGAGTTGAACATGTTCAGTGACATGATGATGTAGATATCTAGATCTAGATCTAGATCTAAATCTAGGAGTTTACGAAACGGTAAAAGTACATTAGATATTACAGTTTAAAAACGACAGAACAGCCAGTGGTGCTCTGCAATGAACTGTTCTCTAACAGAATATACAAGAGATTGGATATTTTTAAAACTAAAGAGATACGGTCCGAGGTGCCAGACGAGGGTGAAGACAGGATCTGCTGAGCAAGTCACCAGAATGTCTCTTTTCTGAGACAGTTCTCTGCTCTGAGTCTTGGGTACTTTGCGGACTCTCAGTTTCTTGGTGCTAAGGCAAACCAACTGAAGGTGCAATGTAGCCATACCTGTGTTATTCAAAGTTCCCAATCCCCGTACTCTAGAAAGAAACAAACCACCCCAAAAGGACTTACGATGCTAACGAAAGACTCATGCTCTTTTACAACGTGGAAATTCCTCAATCTCAAACATTATTTTCACAAGTAAAAAAATCTTGTTCATTTATCTAGCCAAGAATAAGCTATACAATTTTTATTTGTTAAAAGTATGTGTATATATACTGGATAATAGAATAGAAGCGAAACCTCATCACATTGTGTTTGTTAACAAGGTAGGCCCTAAGTAATATATAGGCGCCTATACTTATACTTATACTACAGCCTACGTTTTAAAACAAAATTTAATTTAATTTGGAAATCAAAATAAAACAAAGTGATACACATCATGTAGAATGGAGACTCTTATGTCACTGGAAAGGCTAACTGGGGTAAGCTGTCAAATCCATGGTTCTGGAATGCTTAGGTTATAATTATTAGTAAATGTAGTATATCACATCAAAGAATGAACAACAATAAAAAGAACAACAATATTAGACTCTATGACTCTGAGTATGAGAACCCTTCAATAAAGTAGGCCTACTGTTAATAAGAGAAAAGCATAACATTGAGAGGAAGAAAAACTCAACAAATCCTTTTCTTAGTGGCCACTATAATCTAGATCTATAAACTTTGTTGTCTATACTGTGCCATTGAATGTGATGCATGTGTGTATTTTGTTCATGTTATAGTTATATAAATGTCACTTATAATAATGTGTTGATTAAATCATCACACCATTCTTCACAAATAGTATAATTCTATGACTTGAAAAATTCTGTTTTTGCAGCTGTTGTAGCTCATTTTCTGGTTCACAATTAAGTTGCTGCTAGGATGGCATTCCTCTGCCAAGTAAATCGGTTTCTGCCACATCCCTTTTCAAAGCAAGTTTGACAGTTTCTTCAATGCTTCACTACAAATACAAACAAGTCATTTGCAATTTACAAGCATTGTATCAAACCAACTTCACCCCATATTCCCCTCTTGAAATATAACATTGGTTGGTTGAAACAATTTGAAATATGGCAATGAACCCCCCCAAAATAAACAAAAAACAAAAAAACAACAACAAACAAACAGAAAAAATCACTTCAAAAACCCTACCTAGCATTAATAAAGACTGGATACAAATAATCCAAGCCCTTTTGATTCTGGTCAAGGAAACTGAAAGGGTGGTGGTAAGTATTTATTCAGCAATATATATGTTAAATCTGTAAACCTTTTTGCAGCTATCAAAGGAAAAAAGCAGTCACTAGAGACAATCCTGCCCCTACCCCCAAGATTGTTGCACATGCTTTTCGCCTAATAATGGTAAATAAAGTCCTCTGACCAGTCCTGGTATGAACTGTAAAGATTACATTGACCACTTCCTTTCAGTTTTGCTTCCAGGTAGTTGGGCCAATAACTCAAACATTGCACCACCTAAGTGTGCTCATAATATAAAGTCCAAAAAGAGGAGCAGCCACCAATGACTAACCTCATCAAGTCACTGAAAGTAGAGTACCTGGTGCCGTTTGAAAATGTTGTCACCTACAGTAGTGGGTACTTTCTTGGAAAATGTCTCGAGTCATATGGGGCAATTCTAAGACTTTGAGAAAAAGGAGAATCTAGAATCTAGATCTAATTGCCCCACAAAAGTGAAGGCTTTCTAAAGCCATATTTCCTTCTGCTTGTACGCCCGGTCAGAAGCTGTGGGACTGTTTGAAGCTATTCAAGCTTCTTTAATTAATTGGGGAAAGGAAACTTAATATTGTGTCGATGGGGGCTTAAGAACACATTATTTGTTTAATAAAGAAACTATAAACACCAGACAACATTTCAAAACAAAGCTACTGCCCCCCCCCCCCCCCCCCCTCACACACACACACAACCCACCCGATGCAGTCAGTGATTGAAAATCTAAGACTGCCACTGCTGCTAGAGTCCAACTGTTGACTAGGATCTAGAGTCTAGATCTAGATCTAGATAAACTAGGCCTACACAGCGAGCTGTTCCCAAATGTCAGAATCAATTATCATGAACTGAAGTTAAGAAACAATGGCACTCCTGTACAATAGCGGTCCTGTTTGCACTAAATCACGCAAGGCCTAAGTGCCCGGTGTTTCTTATTTAGATCTAGATCTAGGCCTAGATTATAGATATATAGATATCTATATATAAGATTCTAGATCTAGACCTAGATCTAGGAATCTAGATCTAGATTCTATATCTAAACTGAATTAAAATTATAGATCTAGCTATGTATATCTAGATCTAGAAATAGATTATATTGGTTATCTATAGAATCTAGATATCTAGATCTAGAATCTAGATCTAGATCTAGATATCTAGAAATCTAGATCTACATCTAGATTCTAGATTCACTGCCACATGACAATAATGGCCGTCATGTAAACATTAAACGGGACCATATAATTGTACAGGTGCACCGAAAAAGAAGCCATTGAAACGAGCACAGAAGCTTAAGTAGATCTAGATCTAGATCTAGATCTAGATTTATATCTACTGTTGATATGATAGTATGAATCAAGTTGCATGATAGTGTGTCTAAGCCAATTCACAGGCAAGTGGCCTAGTCAAGAGTCGCCCTTCGGTCATTCGCCAACCACTAGGCTAGGGCATTCTAGATCTACATGTACTTTCCGAACTGCACTCTTGGATGGGTGCACAACAAAATCTAGATTCTAGAATCTAAATCTAGATCTAGATCCTGGCGTTTCTAGATTTAGATAGGCTACGTTTATTAATTAAATACTCTCTTTGGGCTAAAATATATATTTTTAGTAGGCCTAGGCTAGACATACCGCCCGAGAAGATCAGTAGCCTTGCATTGTAACCAATGTAAACGATCGTCAGCCCAGCGAGTTATACGCGCAGCTGGCAGAGTGGGAGGGGCCTGCGCTTGTCACATGACATAAAGAAAAGTTGTCCCGTCTCTTGTCTTACTGAGTCTTGGGTGCAATCCAAAGGGGTTATAATAATAGTACTAGATGTCGCAGATGTGACGTCACCCACGTAAACTCACTATGGCTGTGCGGGCCCACTCAGCTCGCTTTGTCGCCATTTTTGAGAGGATTATAAACAGCACTGTCACGCTGCGCGTCCCACGCAACGCCTAGGTCTTCGTAGAGTTTGAAGCTCAATTCAGTTTTATTTTAAGTTTCTTTTTGTTTGCTGCTGTT